GAAGTGGGAAACAAGCCAGCCGGGAACCCGACCACAAGCACCCAGCTTGGGAGACAAATGAAAAGAACTGGGAGACAAATGAAAGGAAGTGGGAGACAAGCCGGCCGGGAACCCGACCAGACCATCCAGCACCAAGGCGACCATTCTTTAAAGCATTGAGAACCCCTAACAGTAAACTGTTTGGGGAATAAACATCAACAAACTCACCCAGCCAAATGTGCACCTCCAATGCACCAACAAGTATGATTGAGCAGGGTATTGTATCATTAAGCTGCCTGCCAATGCGGGCTCGAGCTGGTGGTCGGCGGCATGCCGAAGGCTGTAAATTATCAATATTTTACGTCAATCACTACCATCTATGGATTTACATGGAACGGCCTATGCTTCTGTGTGTTGAGCCATTGCTTCCAGTTTTGCCTGCAGTGGTCAATTCAAAGCGATTCCCTAAAGAATCAAACTCTACAGGTTCCAGTTGGAGCAAAAGAGTGTGGTTTGGATACTTGTGTTCATTCTTTATGACAACCCGAGTTGCTCAATTGTTTAGGTTTAATTCGAAGGAGGATGTCACGACTTGCTTTTGGATTCAGGGCGTCCTTCGGTAACTAAACTCTGAGTTGTCTCTCAAGGTGAATGATTTCGCGAATAGACGTTCCCATGACACGCCAGCTGAGTGCACAATGATGTCGGGCGCGCATGTCACAAACGTCCAATGAATATCGGGAAGGATTTGGCCCTGTGACACCTCTTGGCCTCTTGGCTTCCTTTCGTAAAAGGAATCACGAGGGGCTCAGCAAGACGTACAAAACAGTCGGTCTGTGAGGCCTCGCCTACTGTCGCCGCGCAACAGGAGGCTCTCTGTCGAGCCAAGCAGGCCAAGGGTACGCACAATGCATAACACTTGTCCAAGAAATTCACTCACCAGAATCGTGACATAAACAATCACACCCTCTCGTCTCTCGTCCTTCCTTTTCATGCTAACTACACAAGCACACTTGCCTTACCTCCAGCACCTTGGCCCGGAAATCGCAAGGCTCTGCACAGCACGGGCGGCCAACGGCGCTGGCTGACAGCAGTTATGCTTTTTCGGGGTCAAAGCTTTGACACTGAAGTCTCGGAGGATGTCTTTCGGTACCAACTGGTGCTCTTCTCTGTATGGTACATTTCTCAACCTAGGACTTATAACTTGTCACATTGAAGTTTCAAAGCAGGAATGTGAGGTTGAAGTGAGGGATGTTTGATTGCGAGGAAGTGAGTCGTCTTGGATTGGATTCAGTTTGTGTGCCCATAATTAGTGCACACAGAATCGACACCTAGGCCGATCCGCTATCTACAGGAGGGTCAATACCTCTTGGGCTCACAAGGAGTCTTTGCCCGCTGTGGCTTGCTCATAGACTTGAGCAAAGGCGGGGTCCTGCACTGGAAGGTACTCTCACCAATCAAGACAAAGACCTGTTCCAAAACAAGGGCCTTGCACGAAAGAAGGTTAGAGCGAACGAAAGTCAACACCTTGCTACTGCGAGAGTGTTAACAGCTTTTAACAGCTCCTTCATGATTCTGCCCATGAAGTCCACAAATACCTGGGACATGGGTGAAGCACTGTGAGAAGACCAGTGGCCATGTTCACTGGCACATGGCCAACATGGCCAACATGGGCCTTGTGCTGGTTGGCTTCGGCTATCGGCTCAACAACCTTCAAAGTCCTTGCGTATAATCTCAACATATCCATTGCACGACCTGAGGGACAAAGCTGCAGGCACTTTTATCTTCAAATTGCAGCTTGCCGTGCGAAGAAAGCATCTGTGCTGCCTTTTTTGTGCACAGCTCTAGGTCTGAGGCCAACTTGCTGCTTGGCCTGCACCTGCTTGATCCATCTCATGATGCAACGGTCGAACCTGCAACACGCAGTAGCACGTACGGTTCGAGTCGAGTTTGGGACCCACAATGAGCCAAGCTAGATGCGACAACATGCCGGCAGGACGGCTCGACCAAATCACCCACACGGCCCATAATTCGGAACAATGCAAAATTCCAAGAGCACAGGTCTTGCAGTAACCTGCCAAAAGTTGCAGAACGAACATATAAGGCACCTAGAAAACTGCAGTCAGGCCCTCAAACAGCAAACTGGCCAGTTGGGCTGACAACAAATCACCTGAATGTCTTCATTGTCGCCCATCCCTGATACAATCTGGTATTCGTTCAATTTGAAAAGGGAGTAGAAAAAGGAGCCAGGCAATACGAACATAGCAAATGTTTGGAAGTAGGTTGCGTAAAGGCATGCTCCAAGTCTGAATGAAAGAACAAAAGCCACAAGCTGCCGTAGTCCTTGGAGAACAAGGTCGATGATTGTTGGAGATGCTACTTGCTCCGGATATGCTGCCAACAGTGAGCAACAGACCTAAGCTTTCGGACTTTGAGTCAAGAGAACTATATAATCCCAACAGTTTGCTCGTTTTGTCTGCTCACAATAGCGGTAGAATGGTCACTCTGGCGTGGGCTGTGTATGCGAACTTTCGCAATGGTAGGCCGTCATCGACCTAACCAATCAACAGCCAGTCGCACCAGAAAGGTAGGTCACATGTGTGGTGGCATGAGGGCCTTGTGTTTGAAGGGGCCCAGGTCAACCTCTCGAATCAGCTCTGGCCTGTGCAAATTGCCAAGTGAACTCAGACAATTGCATAAGAAGAGTAATTAATGTGTCTGATTGATGCAAATGGCGCCTTTGCTTGGAATCCTCCTTAATGCGCTCCAGGATCAAGTCGGTGCTGTCCTGCATTGCCACAGCTGTTGAGGTTGAGCCAACCAACTGAGCGGATAGGATGACTCCTATGAAGAAAAACACCTTATTGTTACTAGTAGCGATTGCCTCCAACCTACTTGCGATGGCCTCTACCTACTCTTTCGCATAGGATGAATCGTGAGTCGTGGTTCCCTCAGTCATTGTCCCAAGTGTTCACTCATCTGTCCTGCAAAATTTCCGAGCAACTTGGCGAAACGCAAACCACGTTGACAGAGTGAAGTGCAGCTTTACGAACCTTTCAACACTGAGACACCCTCTCATCCTCGCCAAAAAAGGTGGGGCACTGTTTTCCGCTGCTAGTTCCAAACCTGAAGCTCTTCATCTCCCAAGCAAGTCAACAACGCTTCCTGTCGCGAAATTTCCACAGACTGTCAATGAACATGGAATGAATACGACCCGCCTTCAGAGGCAGAACAGTTGATGCCTGATCAAAATGATAGCAGTGTATGACATTGTAAGATGTGGATTGTCCAGTACAGCGGTAAAGCAACAGAGCCTGGCAGTGTTTCGCTGCAGCAAATCGCACCGATGCAACTGCTGCAGCTCTCATTCGCCAGCTTTCCCTGACATCGTGCGCACGACTTCTTCAAGACTTCCGAGTGACAGAAACCGTGCCTATCTTTCGACAGTAAGGCTCCCAATGCTTGTAGCACTGCTTCCTTCATGAGATGGTTGCTTCGCTTGACTTTAAACTTTGGATTGGACCATGGCCGGGTCTTGGTCGGATCTTCTTGCTGAATCATCCCTTCCACTAAAACCATTTCCCACTACCAGTCTTGAGCAGTCCTGATCGACAGCAAGAAGGTGCCCCAGCGACTCGGACACGACATTTCGCATGCTCTCCTGCCAGAAGCAGTGTTCCCTACTTCTCTACTCAGACATCAAGCATATGGCATGAGACCTCCTGTGAATCCGCATACTGCTGCAGAATCGGCCTAAACATACACAACAAATGAAGAACAAATGGCGAATCCACGACGAGCCCAAAAGAACGCTGAAGATCGGACAGAACCCGACTCACATGTGGCTTCAGGTGCTCCGCCAATGAACGGGACCCGTGCCTCGCATAAACTTATTTATGTATGAAAGAAGATTGGAAATGGCACAATGTCCTTGAAGGAATTCCATTGCACTGCACTGCTTTTGATCACAACAGAATACAAAATTGGTTGTAGGATACAATGTCTGTGTCAGACAAGGCTTCTACCAATTGTGCTTTGACTGTAGTGCCAATGCACTAGGATGTGGAAAGCTGCATGTACATTTAAGAGAAGGATCGAAACAAAACAAATAGATATCATATATCTGTTTATATGTGTGTGTGTGCGTACATGCTCAGAAATACATGTGTATTCATATAGCTTGTACAAGCAGCTGTCCCGAGACCCGCTTCTAATCATAATTAATCCTGAAACGTAAGAACAGTACCATAGAGAGTTTGTAGCTCTGACCCCAAAAGGTCTGCAAGACCTGCGTGTTGAGCGCATTCCATTGCATCCGGATGCTTCAACATGCATAAAGTATGCTTTGTTATGGAACGCTAAACGCGCATGTCATCCGCGAACCATAGCAAACATTCATGGCAAAACTCAGTATCTACATGTATGAATACAATAACATGAGGAAACCAATTCGACACCTCACCAAGTGTGTAAAACCACCCGTCATTTGTGCATGTGCTGTATACACTACATGATTGAGAGTGTGGAAAAAGGAAAAGGGTACCAAGTACTAAGTACCATAGATCCTGTTTGAATCCTTTGAGCTCCTTTGCCGACCAGGCACTTGTGATTTCCTTGACACCACGCAAAGGTCTACCCTTTGGAAGGGCAAGCAATAGAGCAAAAAGGCAAGTCTAAAAACGCAAAGATCTTCTCCAGCTGAAACACCAAAATTGCACTCAAGTTCCTCGACGAAAACGAAAGCAAGCTTGGTGGTGGGATAGGTGTGGTGACTAAGCTATGTCTTCGGCTGTTGAGCAGGCAACTTTGTGAAAAAGTGGCATGCTGAGTTCACCGGGCACTTAATTGAGTGTGGAGGTATGGCTTAGTGGTCAAACATGGTGACAAAGTTGAGTTGTTGAGTTTCGATCTGGCTTGGTCTCAGTCTAGCTATAGACGTGTCGACGCAGTTGAACGTTGAGGCAGCTATATAATTCAAGTAGCGCAAAAGTGAAACTACTGCGCAGTCTGGCCTACTTTAAGCTAGCTATATACAAGTGTTAGAGCTATAGAGCTGAGTTATAGCTTCGGTGTGAGGTGACTAAAGAGTGAAACGGTGAAACCTTAAGCTAGCCAGGCTCTTGTGAACTGGCTAGAGTTCCAATTTGTGATCTTGCTGAAGGAGTGGGTCAAATGCAAATGCCAGTAGTTAGTGAAGAAGTTAGCTGCTTAGCTAAAATGCTGACCAAACTAGCAGTAAGTTGCATGCACAGGTCGAAATAGCATCAACCAGCTTCTCGACAAGTATGGACTGCTTGGCCTTTCTGCTACGCCAATGGCTATGACTTCTCTGAGAGAGGTGAGGAGCAAATACCTTGAGGAAACTTAGCCAGCCCAAATCAACCAGCAACTGTACCTATGTCCAGGACCAAGAAGTCTTTAGGCTGACTAAAACTTGTAATGAGATCAGCATCAAAAGTTTGTTGATATTGTAATATACTGTAATCATCTGTGTCAAGCAAATATCATTTCAAACATCTGCCAATACAAAAAGGATGCAAATATTCCTACCATCATGCTCCAAAGGCTGAAACGGCAATGAAACCTCAATCCAACGTCGAATAGAAAACACAAAATGTTTGTCCGGTATCAAGATGGAGCACTGTTTCTTCTGCCCTGGAGCCTCAGTGCCAGCCTGGCAGAAAACAGCTGCTGACTTGGCATTCGTCTATAGATTCTATTGACTCTATCGACGTGCAGCAATCTCAATTTCTGCTCAAATAGACATTATCCCAACATTCGTTTGGGTCATTGCTCTCTGATGTTTTTGCAGTCGCGACATGCAGATTCGGGCCTGTTGAACATTGTCGATAACCACTTTGAGCAATGTACCCATTGCTCCCACAGTGGCCTCACAGCTGCGGACCCGGTGGCATCTGAAGAATGTCAGGAAACTTAAGATTCTTAAGAGTCTGACATATCCCAATGCAAGGGCAGCTGCCAGTCGAATCTCGTCCTGGGCACTTATTAAGCGAGCCATGTATCCAGTGGCTGCACTCATGAAATCGACTCACATAATCATGTGGAAATCCTAAAGTGTGGCTTTTGAAGGCTGACCTTGCAGCGATCAACATGGTCCGAACTGGCCTCCTT